CCCCCCCCCCCCGTGATTTTGGCATTCAAAATTTTAACAAATATTTAGTGCTCTGATAATGCTACATTCTTTTGTGCCAAGTCTTAATGGTTAAATCACTTTTTATTATCATTATTTTTTATTAAAAACTATCATTTAACAGCCCCACAGTCACTTCATCCTGTGGCAGCTGCCCCAAACAGCCTCAGCTGCCGCGGCAAGTCAGTGGCACCTGAGGATGCCACCGGAAGTTGCCACAGCAAACAGCGACAGCTGCCGCGGCACCTGAGGTTGCCACCGGAAGTGCCACGGCTAGCTGCCTCTGCCACGATTTGCGCTTGTATAGCACAAGGGACTCACAATATTAGTAGTTTTATTTTTAGCCTTGGGCTGAAGACTTTAAGCCTGCATCATATGATTGAACCTATCCCTGGCCAGTCTTCTAGTATTCTAGTTTTTGTGTAACTTATTATATTCACTATTGTCTTTTTTCTATAGGCTACTGATATTGTAATATTCCTTGTTTATCTATGATATTTAATATTGTTGTCATCTTCTTATAATTGCTAATTGCTTCTATTATATCCCCCGCCCGGCTGTGATGGCAAGCACTGATTTTCTACCTGGTGACGTCTAGGGATGTAACAATATGGAAAAATTGATATCTCGATTATAGTGACCAAATGATCACGGTAAACGATAATATTGCGATATTTTTTTAAGCGCTGTAAAATGTCCAAAAAATAGATAGGCCTACATTGAAATAACTTCACTAAATCTTGTAGAGGATTACCTGTATGAGAAAAGGAGTGCATGCTCTCGGTCAAAGGTTAACATGGCAGCGTTTTACGTTGTTTCCTTGAGCTTATGTCGAGAAAGCATAACTGGCCGTCTATATCGATTCTAGCTCGCCATACAATAACCATAATCATAGTGGTCATAGTTGATCTCAGTTAGCGTTACGTTACGTCGGTTTATATTCTGTCGACTCTGCTCAGTGTTTACAGCTCCGTTTTGTTTTGAAACACTTAGCAACATAGCTGCTAATAGGGCTATTAGCTACTCAGCTAGTATTAGCTCCTAAGTGTCTTAAACGAAAACGGAAAACCTAGTGTTGCTACCCTTCGCAGCAACTTTCTTTCTGCATGTTCTGCACACAGGATAGTTGTCCTGCACCAGCTGTCCCTCGGCATTCTTCAGAAACCCAAAGTACGCCCAGAACTCAGACTTTGTGTGTTTAGTTGGGGGGGAAATTGTCCTGAATGCCGCTATCACCACCACTCCGCCATGTTTTCATTCTTTGTGTTTACTCATGCTACACATTCACGCAGCGCCTGCATCGCGAGACTTGAATGAGGCTGTTATTACATGTCCTGATAATCCACCGCGATAATGCAATTAATTTAAACATAAACAGTCGTTCTTACCGTGTAAAAATTAACCGAAATTTACCGTAATATTGGTAATCATCCCTAGTGACGTCACAGACGCACCGGCCTATATATTTTCTCCTTGAACTGCTGTCACTCACTTGCCTGATGAAGACTCAACAGGGTCGAAAACTTGCAGGTTTGAGCCAAATTAAAGCGGGAGCTTAAACTCAGTGTGCAGACACTTCTTCTTTTTTGATTTCACCTGTTTGTCCTGCACCTGGTACCTAATACGGTCTTTGGATGTGCGCACAGCCCTTCTCCTTCATACCTGTAGGTACCCTGTTTCAGCACTACTGACTAACAGTGGATTCTTCATTTATTCATGAATCTTGTGTTGCAGGCTGGCTGAGCGGCGTTGGCAGTGTTCAGTCCGCTGTATGAGCGCTGCAGCCAGGAGGAGGAGAGCTCTGCACAGTGCCTTCCCAGTGCTGGAGCAGCCCCTCCTGCCCATCCACCAACAGATGTATGAAACCAACCTCCGAAACAGCAACGCCTGCCATAAGAAGTAGGTTCTGTTCAGCTCTGATTAAATCTGCTGAATTTAATTTTTCCCTACTGCATTATTTGTATAAAAGATCTACCACTACTACTTGATTTTGTAATACTTTTCAGAATCAGTACAGTGTTTTGGTGACCAAGAGGTAAATTTAGGTCAGCCAGGCAGAGAGTATAATCATGGTTTCAAGCTGTGACGGTCATTAATAATGATAACTAAATAATCAGTTAATTTTTTAAGTTATTCCAAAGCAAAAATGCATAATATTAGATGCATCCAGATTCTCAAATGTAAGAATTTGCTAGCTTTTCTCATTTATAGCAAACTGAATTCCTATCTCTTAGTCAGACAAAACATAACCCTGGCCTTAAGGAAATTGTGAAACACACTTTTTTAAAAAAAAAAAAAAATGTTTTCTGATGTTTTTATTCAACAGCTAATTGACTGATTTATATCATTTAAAAAAAAACATTATCATAAATAATGGTGTTTTTTATTAACTTTTATTAACTTTCATCTTTTTTTTTTCTCCAAACCTGTCTGCGTTAGTCTTTGTAGCTTAGCGCCACAAAAGGGTGTAAGCTTTTTATGAAGACTGATGCACCGTTAATCTTGCAGTCAAGTATTTTATACCCATACTGTGCGTGGTTGTGACCGTCACCCACCCTCCCTGGCGACTAGCCTATCAGCCTTTATTGGAAAAACTTCCTAATACGAGCCAGAGGGCTGTGATACACCGTAGTGTGTCAAGGGGAAAGTAAGGGACAGACAGGGGGGACTG